TTTCATGTGTCGTTTATCCTCAATAGGGTCAAAATTAGACAACTTTACGATAAAACTTAGACTGTGAGGGTCATATCCTGATGAGGCAGTGCTTACATTTTCAAACAAAATTAAAATAAAATTCAATTCGATTGTTTTAAAATTCTCTTCTGTAGTTTATTTTCGATCATTTGAGCAACTACTAATTCCAATTGTTGGGGAGACTTTCATTTCATTTGAAAGTACATGAAGAAAAGATTCATAGCTTGTTCTCATCAGAACACGACGGCTGGATCTCGTTGTTCTTCAGCCGTTTGGATTTAATACAACATTCGGGTTAACGCAGTCCTCGACACCTCTCTTGTTTCGGGTGAAAGTGAACTCATTTTTTTCCATCATATGATAGCAGCATCAGAGGTGGAAGTCATTCTTGTAAAAGTCTCATGTTAACACTTGGTCAAGAAGATTATCCGCCTCTATCCAACCTCTTATATGTATTTATATATAAACACGAAAATGAATAGACATAGATTGATATAGGATGATTTGGCTAATTATCTTTCATAATGGTCAAGATATACGCAATACTGGTCTTAATTCAGCGTGATCAAAAAGGTTAATGTCGGGCTCTGGTCAACAAGGCTTGAATCAAGAAAAAGCATTGATTGAGACTGCGTAAATCTGTAAGCAACTTGGTCATATTGGTAGGATGACCTAGAGGAACGGAGTATATAGAATACATATTAATTTTCAGAGTCAGACAGTGGACTTGGTACATTCCCAGACGTTTCTCCTGCATCGAAGTCGGCATCGTCAGTGAGCATTGGTATTCTTAGCACCCCAATACAACTCGTCAAATATACAAATTGACCAATTGTCTGCTAAACGATTATGATATCTCTCCTTCCATGGCCTATTCACCAATCCTATATCCTCATATCACCTCTTCAATATCAAAATTTCTTAATTGTTTATTTAAATATGGTATGGTGTGCCCTTTTTAACAAATTTCATGAGAACTCTCCGAATTCCACCCTGGCTTTCTCACCCCTTCGTCCCTTTACCCTAGTGATGAGAATGTTGATCAGAATCGGCAATATTGTTCCGCGGTCCTCCTCCCATTGGTCTTATCAGAGTCTCTCTCTTGCCTCGTAGGATCCGCCCCCGACTTTCAGGGTTCAGGTATTACACTCGACCCCTGTCACTAAACGAGGTGTTATTTTCCACACTGCCTCTAGGAGACTAACTTGAGGCTAAATAGCCCGAGTAATTCTCATCTTCAAGCTTTTGCTTCATGGACCACGTCTATGATCAAACGTCTACGGTTAGCAAACTAGCTCTAGTCTACGCCGCGTCTATCGTGCTTCTATCCATAATACCAAGTCTATTACTTCCTACGCCCTAGTCTCTTGTGCGACAACCCACAAATTTCGTGGTTAAACATGTTTTGATCATCGATGTGGTCCATGAAGCAAAAGGTTGAAGATGAGAATTACTCGGGTCCCCAAGTTAGTATCCCAGAGGCAGAGTGTGAAAAATAACGCCTCGAGTAGCACATATAGGGTGGCAGGGGTCTAGTGAAATACCTGAACCCTGAAAGTCGGGGCTGGATCTTACGAGGCAAGAGAGAGAGACGGATAAGACCAATGGGAAGAGGAATGCGGTGTGAGGCGGTGAGAAAGCCAGGGTGAGGTGTGGAGAGTTATCATGAAATCAGCCCCAAAAGACATACCATACCACATCTAAGTAAGAAATTGTGATAGTGAAGCCGTGATACTTGGATATAGGAATGGTGAATAGCCCAGGGGAGGAGAGATACCACAATTGTTTAGCAGACATTTCGTCAAAGGATCGGCTTCATTTGTCTATTCGACGAGTTGTGGTGTGGTGCTAAGAATGGAAAAGCTCACGATGTCGGCGAAATGTCTGGGAATTTACCACATTCACTGTGCGACTCTGGAAATTATTAAGTATACTATGGACTCCGGACAAGGTGCGTTCTTCAAGGTCCTCCTGCCAATATGACCATGTTGCGAAAACAGGGCCAAACAACTTCAATCAGCTAAATGGTCTGCGTAACTTTCTGAGTCTTTAAATTTATTTATTCGTTAAGTTTATCAACAAGAGTTTCTTTCCATATGATAATTTTACAATATGCAGACCAACACTGTAAAAATATAAAAATATCAAAAATAGCGTTTTATATAAAACCAACCTTTTATCTGGTTTATTTAGATAAATAAATGATTAAGGCGACTGGATAACTAGTTAAGAAATTACAAATGCTTCATAAAACGGTTTAGCAAGTCACCAGCAAAGAATACGAGTAAAAATACAGATTATTCTTCAGACAAAGATTTCTTTTGAGATAATTTTTAGCTCTAATACCCGAACATCATAATTTAAAATAAAATTTTTGTTGAGGCCCCAAGAACTTAGTAGTAATATGTTTAGTTCTAAACCAGAAACTTTCAAATTTAATTTCTAATTTTGCCGATGCTTAAGTGAAATATGAGGCATAAAACTTTGAATAAAATCCTATGTAGAAAGATTATATGAATAGCATAGCCACGAACACGGTAAAGGTTAGGCTCATTCAGGACTATCTCAATGAGTACGACTGTGCTGAGAAGACATGGACAAACAATCTAGAAATTTGAAGAAGCACAATCTTGGTATTCACAACCATGACCACCTGAAATTCCTAAAATAACGAAAAATAAATACTTCATTGATCCCGACGAAAGATAGACTTTTAAAGGTATAGGCCAAGCGAAACAGTTAAAAAAGCACCTTTGAAAATTAACCTGGTTAGACAAAGAGCTTAATATTGGATTCAACAGAAAAGTCGAAAAATTAATAAAATACTAATAACTGTGTCTTTCTTATTTTATTTAAGCCAATCAAGGATTTATAGTTGAATTTGCCTCAAGTGATGTGAGTAAACCTCACGACGATCCCACCACAGTGACATGTGAAAGTCCTGACCCTTCTAGAAATTCATTTCTGCCTTTGACCCAAAAGAAATCGTTGCAATGTGACGAAGTGGTTAATATATTGAAAATATACTTTTTACTGTCACGACCGGGGTTTGAATTCCGCTAGGAGGACTGATGATATATATATATATATTTATAAGATGCATTTTGATGAAAAATTAAGTCTTATATTCAACTCACCATGTGCATAATAGCATTCATTTGGGAGCTAGATATTTTACATTCTCTTAGATCATCATTTTTACTAGCAGTTTTTTTCTGCCTCATTATTTTTTATTTTTCACGCTATCTTGGCTCAAGTAGAAGAGGCTTCATCAGAAAAGGCAATTTTATCAATTGTAATGAGTCAACGAGACCGCTTTAAAGTTCGAGTTAAGGAATTAGAACATGTATGTTTTAATTTCATTTTTCATTAATTATCCTTATCTTTCTCAGCACCGATTGATCATTGCTTAAATGAATTACCCTTATTTTTGCATAAGCCTTTTAGTTTCATTTAGAAGTTAGGCTTATTTATAATAATTTGGCCACCTTGCTCGTGTAATCACCTTAGAAAATCAGTATTTATATTTTAAAATTGAAGTGTCTTGGCAACTCCTATAAGACTATCCTAGTGCATTTAAAACAAACTTGCATTCCCTCTAATAAATGCATATAAGCAATCTCTTTGGTGCTTCAGACATTTATTAAATACTAATTTTTGAATAAAAGGCCTGATATGTTTCAAATAATTCTGACCTGAGATTCATTATACTGATTTGGATTCTATTTTGGCGTTGTCTAGCCAGCAAATGCCTTGTCAATTCAATATCCTTTTCTTGCCACGTAATATGTATTAACCTCAATCTGATTCCTTGTCGAGCCTAATGGATTATGAGACAACATTCGACCGGTTTCTTGCCTGACTACTAGTGAGTTTTTTCACCGAAAAATTTTGATGTTTATCTGGAGTTTTGAAGTCTTCGAGATCTCACAAAGAGTGATATATATATATATATGCATATGTATATATATATATATATATATGTTTATTTAGCATAGGGATAAACAGATTAGTTTTCTTCACTCATCAACTTGGAAATGGCTGTAAGAGGGATACTATGCTCTTCTGATGTCTAATGATGCCATCTGACAGACAAAAACATAGCGCTTAGACTGGAATTTAAGTAGGATGTACTAGTAAAGTCAACCGACAGCTGGCCAAGATAATTCGCTCTGGTCTTCATTTTAGAGTGATCTTGCAATCTCTTCTTCACATTCACTCCAAATCAAAGGGAGCTCAACAATTATAGGATAATGGCTAGATTAGACCTTTTGCTCTAGAACAAATTTGATCATTTCTTAAACCACCTTTACTATATTCCGTAATTACTCGCAAACGCTTGCGTTTTGTCTCCTGCGTTTTATTTTATGTATGCAGCATGAAACGGTGCTTCGGAACCAAGTTCTTGCTTTACAGAATGAGTTAGAATCTGTGAAGCAAGACAACTTAAAGCTTTACGAGAAGGTTCGCTTTCTTGATTCATACGAAGGTGGAGACCGAGTTGGCCTGGCAGACCGCAACCGATCGCGCCTGCTATCTTCTACTCCTTCGGCATTAGCAACAACATCAATTGGTCAAAGCACAATTGATTTTGCTAGTGGAGAAGAGGGACTCCTGCGCACATATTCATCTGCCTATGAGGCCCATATAAGTCCCTTCGAGCAATTCAATCGACGCGAGCGAAATCGCCGCTACGAAGAGCTTCCACCGCATGAAAAAATCATGCTGCACATGGTATTGTTAATTATATTTTATTGAATTTGTCATTCTTTGGTTATTCCAGTTTTTCTTGGATAAATATTGAGCCGCCATATCATAGTTTGATTGTGGTAATGGTATAATTGTCTACAAATTTCGATTTTTTCGCAAGCTTTACTGAGGCCCTAAAAAGTTTCAAGTGACTAATTTTAGAGAATTATTTATTTTTTAAGTCGTCCTCTTATTTATCAAATTGTTTCTTTTGAATTTTCTCAGACTTTATTACTTTGTTAACCTCTATTCTTAAGGCAAGTCTTCCTGTTTTTGTCTGCACAACGACTCTCATCAAAGACTTAAGCAGAAGCATGTTCCCCTACTACCCACGCTACTGTATCTTGGAATATCAACCTTTATGAGATCGATAAAGGCATATTATTTTTATATACTAGTCGTACTTTATTTAGATCTTATATATGAATACCAAAATAGTGATGCATTACATTCGTTCACAGTGTACTTGAACTGTATTACGTTGCTTTGACCATCTTTCCGAAATAGTAATATGATGTACAGGGAGTCTTTAATTAGTGATAATGATTTTTATATGCATTAAGGAACGACTGACTGTCTGGCTAGAGAAGGTTGTTAAATTGAAGCAGTGATTGGGCCCGAGAAACCCTGCAAACGACTTCTGAAACTGGGGTTGAAAGCACTTTCGCCCTAATAAATCCACTTAAAATACCACACACCTGAGCGACGTTGGGGCAAATGAAGACATGAAGAGGTGTAAATAGTTAAATGGGGTTGAGGGATATCATTACAGCGCTAAAAGCTTATACACCTGGGAAGAGGTAGATGTCCCAGCTTTTGAGCAAAAAATCGATCAATGGGATTGCCTATTCATTGTTGTCTTCACACTGGTAACACAACTCCAGCATACGTTTTGCTTATTGTGCTTTATCTCATTTTTCTTATTCATTCCTGCTGCTCTTTGCACTTTCCTTATTTACACTAAAACGACCATTTAGCTTTGTGCAACTTTTGATCTTTATACAGCTTCAACATCGCATCCTTCAGTTTCTTATCTCCTCGGAGGTCACAGGGCAGGTCTCGAGTTATAGTACACATCCAATATGGACTCGTTCATAAGATAATCTTGAGACTTGTGAAGGAATACTTTAAAACGATGTTGGGAGTACATTTTGGGATGACTATAAAAGTTTATAAAAGAGGGACTAATATGCTAAGGCGAGGCAAATTGAGCTTATACTTTTAACAGAGCTTGAGGCCTGATCTTGATCTCGAAATCTAGTTAAATCAATAAATGCTCTTAACCAACCTCGTCTCCTTTGGGAATATTAATAATTTTGATATTATTTCTTAAATTTATATAGATTCCGATTATGTCTTTGGAATTTAAGAGCACAAATTTGATACTTCATCGTAGAGTTATGATCGCTATACTATTTATAATTGTAAAAGTTACATGCATTAATTATTTAGAAGTTTTTTTTTGAAATCATTACCTGTATACTTTACTAACATTTATTTTAGGGTAAATTCGTGATGGGTAATAGGAGAGCACGTTTAATCGCTTTTCTATACTTAGTATTACTTCATGTGCTTATATCGCTCTCACTCTACCGTGCTGCCAGCTCGGAGAAAATCTGTAACACATGAACCTCTAACCACAACCCATAGGACCTTCACCGTGCCGAGTTCTCATTGGGTTTTCCGTAATATTATCAGATTTATTATTTTATTACATGATTTTGTCCATTCACAAATATGAATTTCCTTTATTATTTCATATTTTTATTGGTAACCTACAAACCTCTACTTTACATTGTCTTAACCTTTATTTTCATTTTTTTATTTTGTCACATTGATTGTATTTTTGCGTCATGCATATTCTCATTGCTTGTCACCTCTTGATCAATTTCCTTGCTATCCTATTCACAAAACAATTTTATCTTGAATAATGTGAGCCTTTTCTATATTAAAGATGCTGAATTTCGAAATTGTTGACTTAACAATTTTGCAAAAAATTGATACAATTTTTGATATTCTGCCAACAAAATTAGCAGAGAATATTTCTCTGCCTTTTTAGATAATTGTCTCTTTCTCTATTTTGCATAGCAAAATCCTTAATGCAGCAGAACGATTGATCTTACATGAGGTTATCTAGGTTCTATTGACATTGTTTAGAGAAATATGAGAATTACTTTAGCACAATTCTGTATCACAAACTTAATGTCATTATTAAAAATTCAAATTAGCAGAAAATTAAGCCTGAACTTTGTATGAAAAATTGACATCTTCCAATCAAAACTCACAAATTTTTAGGAAGAAATATTTAAAAATGTATATATTATACTAAAAACTTGGGCTTTATCGGATTATTACCATATAAATGAATGTTGAAATCAGATAATATAAGATTAAGTTCTGGAGTCACTAGTAATATAGGCTTAGGCTGCACTGGCCACCTTAACTTGGCTATAATATTTTATTTTTTTATAGCTGTGAAGATTTAGATAGAGATCATACCCTGTGCCGCAGGTGATTCAAATATAGTATTCACTTATTAATTTTTATGTTTCTTGAACCTTTTACATTTTATGAAAATTTCATAACCTTCTACAATATTAGTTAAGCGTAGGCAAGATCGGAGGATATTTAATAATGCTAAAAGGCATATTTACACTATTTCGCATAAGGTAATGAAGGATTGGTAGTTGCATTTTTCCTCAATGCTGATTGGACCTTGGCGAGGTCGAGACTGTGGTACATTTTTTATTGAGGATAGCTTTTTGGAAACAAGGCTACGTGAAATTCCGTAGTAAGGTGTGGCTAATCCATCACTGTAAACTAAATAGTGTGAATACGTTTCATTCTTGTTATCTCTAAAACCTTCATATAAACAAAAAATCGAATGTGAAATGTCTTCACCCTCGTTCGTCTAAAGTTATATGGGAACTGATAGTTGAATTTTCACACAATTATATGGTTAGACTTTACGCTTTCATTGTATTTCACATAGCTTCACTTTCTCAAAATGTATTCTTATCATGGAGTGGACTGCAATTTCTTCATCGTCTCTGTCTTATCAGCACCCCCAGCAGGACCCGAACTAGAACAGTGCAGGGTGTAATCTCGATACGCTAACTAAATCGCCACATTGCTATGAGTGCCCTTGGGTTAGAGGGTTGGTGTCGATTTCAATAAAGGTTCGGTCTTTTTCCCTTTCGCTTGTCGAGACTATACGCTTCACTGTTATGGTTCGAGTCCCGCTGGAAGTGCTTATGAGACCCGGGATAGGTAGAAACTGCAGTATACTCCGACCGGAGTGAGAATGTGAAATTCAATAGAAGTGTAAGGTCTATATTCGTATCGTTGTGGGAAAATTCAACTACTACTCACCTTAAACGAAAAAATATTACATTTGCTAAGTTCTTCATTCGGATAAATATTTTATCCCGTCGAGTATAGATAGATAAAATGTTTAGATCAGGAGTGATGTACATTTAATTTATAGACATATATGAATATATGTTTGATTTCTATTTTTGCCTTGTTTCATCGTTAATACAAATTAAATTAAGTAATCTAGAATCTTTAAGGTCATCATAACTCTATCCTAATTCATAATAAGATACTAATATTCATATAGGTGATGCAATTCAAATATATTGATCCATTTTGAGACTTAAACCATGACAGTACAGCGTATAAACTTGACACGTTAACCACTACGCAACATTGCTCCGAATATCCTTGGCTCGCGGCACATGGATTTTAAGGAAAGTCAGACATCTTCCCCTATCACATACTGTCGTGGGATTGTCGATGAAGCAAAGCTGTATTTGCTATCGAAATCGATTACAATACTTGTTTTGCGGTTGCAAATAGGCTTTAGAGACTACTAGTAAATCGACAATCCCATCACAGAATGTGATATAACAAATTAACTGGTCTTCTTTGAAATTCACATCTGCCATTTGACCCTAGGGCACTTATGGAAATGTGGTGTAGTGGTTAGTATG